CCTCTAGGTGGTCACAAAGCACTGGGTTGATCTCCCTGTGCTATGCAGCTGTTTCCCACTAGCTAACTATTTTATATTTGGTAGTGTATATATCTCAATGCTACTCTCTCACTTAGTCCCAGCTTACCCTTTCCCCTCCCCATGTCTTCAAGTCCATTCTCTACATCTGCATCTTTATTCCTGTCCTACCCCTAGGTTCTTCACAACCTTTTTATTTCTATATTCCATATATATGTGTTAGCATATGGTATTTGTTTTTCTCTTTCTGACTTACTTCACGCTGTATGACAGTCTCTAAGACCATCCACCTAACTACAAAGAACTCAATTTCATTTCCTTTTATAGCTGAGTAATATTCCATTGTATACATGTGCCACACCTTCTTTATCCATTCACCTGTTGATGAACACTTAGGTTGCTTCCATGTCCTAGCCATTGAAAAATAGACCTGCAATGAACACTGTGGTGCATGACTCTTTTTGAATTATGGTTTGCTCAGGTATATACCCAGTAGTGGGATTGCTGGGCCTTATGGTAGTTCTGGTTTTAGTTTCTTAATGAACTTCCATTCTGTTCTCTGTAGTGGCTGTATCAATTTACATTCCCAACAACAGTGCAAGAGGGTTCCCTTTCCTCTACACCCTCTCCAGCATTCATTGTTTGTAGAATTTTAATGATGGCCATTCTGACTGTGTGAGGTGATACCGCATTGCAGTTTTGATCTGTGTTTCTCTAATGATTAGTGATGTTGAGCATCCTTTCATGTGTTTGTTAGCAACCTGTATATCTTCTTTAGAGAAATGTCTGTTCAGGTCTCCTGCCCATTTTTGGATTGGGTTGTTTGTTTTTTGGCGTTGAGCTGCATGAGCTGCTTGTATATTTTGGGGATTAATCCTTTGTCAGTTGCTTTGTTTGTAAATATTTTCTCCCATTCTGAGGGTTGCTTTTCGTCTTGTTTATGGTTTCCTTTGCTGTGCACAATCTTTTAAGTTTCATTAGGTCCCACTTGTTTATTTTTCTTTTTATTTCCATTTCTCTAGGAGATGGGTCAAAAAGGATCTTGCTGTGATTTATGTCATAGAGGGTTCTGTTTATGCTTTCCTCTAAGAGTTTTATAGTGTCTGGACTTACATTTAGGTCTTTAATCCATTTTGAGTTTGTTTTAGTATATGGTGTTAGGGAGTGTTCTAATTTCATTCTTTCACGTGTAGCTGTATGGTTTTCCCAGCACCACTTATGGAAGAGGCTGCCTTTTCTCCATTGTATATTCTTGCCTCCTTTATCAAAGAAAAGGTGGCCATATGAGTGTGGGTTTATCTTTGGGCTTTCTAACCTGTTCCATTGATCTATATTTCTGTTTTTGTGCCAGTACCACACTGTCTTGATTACTGTAGATTTGCAGTATAGTCTGAAGTCTGGGATTCCTCCAGCTACATGTTTCTTTCTCAAGATTACTTTGGCTATTCAGGGTCTTTTGTGTTTCCATACAAATTGTGAAATTTTTTGTTCTAGTTCTGTGAAAAATGCCATTGGTAGTTTGATAGGGATTGCATTGAACCTGTAGATTATTTTGGGTAGTATAGTCATTTTCACAATGTTGATTCTTCCAATCCAAGCACATGGTGTATCTCTCCATCTGTTTGTATCACCTTTAGTTTCTTTCATCAGGGTCTTATAACTGCATACAGGTCTTTTGTCTCCTTAGGTAGTTTTATTCCTAGGTATTTTATTCTTTTTGTTGTGATGGTAAATGAGAGTATTTCTTTAATTTCTCTTTCAGATTTTTCATCATTATTGTATATGAATGCAAGATATTTATGTGCATGAATTTTGTATCCTGCTACTCTACCGAATTCATTGATTAGCTCTAGTAGTTTTCTGGCAGCATCTTCAGGATTCTGTATGTATAGTAACATGTGATCTGCAAACAGTGACAGTTTTACTTCTTCTTTTCTGATTTGGATTCCTTTTTTTTTTTCTTTTTCTTATCTGATTGCTGTGGCTAAAACTTCCAAAACTATGTTGAATAATAGTGGTGAGAGTGGACAACCTTGTCTTGTTCCTGATCTTGGAGGAAATGGTTTCAGTTTTTCACCATTGAGAACGATGTTGGCTGTGGCTTTGTCATATATGGCTTTTATTATGTTGAGGTAAGTTCCTTCTGTACTTACTTTCTGGAGGCTTTTTATCATAAATTGGGTTGAATTTTGTCAAAAGCTTTCTCTGCATCTATTGAGATGATCATATGTTTTTTCTCCTTCAATTTGTTAATATGGTGTATCATATTGATTGATTTGCATATATTGAAGAATCTTTGCATTCCTGGGACAAACCTCCCTTTATCATGTTATATGATCCTTGTAATGTGCGGCTGGATTCTTTTTGCTAGTATTTTGTTGAGGATTTTTGCATCTATGTTCATCAGTGATATTGGCCTGTAGTTTTCTTTCTTTGGAACATCTTTGCCTGGTTTTGGTATCAGGGTGATGGTGGCCTCGTAGAATGAGTTTGGGAGTGTTCCTCCCTCTGCTATATTTTGGAAGAGTTTGAAAAGGATAGGTGTTAACTCTTCTCTGAACGTTTGATAGAATTGGCCTGTGAAGCCATCTGGTCCTGAGCTTTTGTTTGCTGGAATAATTTTAATCACAGTTTCAATTTCAGTGCTTGTGATTAGTCTGTTTTTATTTTCTATTTCTTCCTGGTTCAGTGGTGGAAAGTTGTGCTTTTCTAAGAGTTTGTCCATTTCTTCCATGTTGTCCATTTTACTGGCATACTGTTGCTTGTATTAATTTCTCATGATTCTTTGTTTTTCTGCAGTGCCAGTTGTGACTTCTCCTTTTTCATGTCTAAATCTATTGATATGAGTGCTTTCCCTTATTTCTTGATGAGTGTGGTTAATGGTTTACCAATTTTGTTAATCTTCTCAAAGAACCAGCTTTTAGTTTTATTCATCATTGTTATTGATTCCTTCATTTCTTTTTCATTTATTTCTCATCTGATCTTTATGATTACTTTCCTTCTGCTAACTTCATTTTTTTGTTGTTGTTGTTCTTCTTCTTTCTCTAATTGCTTTAGGTGTAAGGTTAGGTTGTTTATTTGAGACTTTTCGTGTTTCTTGAGGTAGGATTTTATTGCTATAAACTTCCCTCTTAGCACTTCTTTTGCTGCATCCCATAAGTTTGGGGTCAGTGTGTTTTCATTGTCATTTGTTTCTAGGAATTTTTTGATTTCCTCAGTGATCTCATGATTATTTAGTAGTGTGTTGTTTAGCCTCCATGTATTTGCATTTTCCCAGATTTTTTCCTGTAACTGATATCTAGTCTCATAGTGTTGTGGTCAGAAAAGAGACTTGATAGAATTTCAATTTTCTTAAATTTACCAAGGCTTGATTTGTGACTCAAGATATGATCTATCCTGGAGAATGTTCCATGAGCACTTGAGAAGAAAGTGTATTCTGTTGTTTTTGGATGGAATGTCCTATAAATATCAATTAAGTCCATCTTCTTTAATGTGTCATTTAAAGCTTGTGTTTCCTTATTTATTTTCATTTTGGATGATCTGTCCATTGGTGAAAGTGGGGTGTTATAGTCTCCTACTATTATTGTGCTACTGTCAATTTTCCTTTTTATGGCTGTTAGCATTTGCCTTATGTATTGATGTGCTCCTATGTTGGGTTCATAAATATTTACAATTTTTATATCTTCTTCTTTGATTGATCCCTTGATCATTATGTAGTGTCCTTCTTTGTCTCTTGCAACACACTTTATTTTAAAGTCTACTTTGTCTGATATGAGAATTGCTCCTCCAACTTTCTTTTGGTTTCCATTTGCATGGAATACCTTTTTCTAACCCCTCACTTTCAGTCTGTATGTATTCTTAGGTCTGAAATGGGTCTCTTGTAGACAGCATAGATATGGTTCTTGTTTTTGTATCCATTCAACCAAGCTATGTCTTTTGGTTGGAGCACTTAATCCATTTACATTTAAGGTAGTTATCGATATGTGTGCTCCTATTACATATCGATAATTAGAGAAGTTCCTTTAGCATTTGTTGTAAAGCTGGTTTGGTGGTGGTGAATTCTCTTAGCTTTGCTTGTCTGTAAATGTTTTAATTTCTCCATCAAATCTGAATGAGCTCCTTGCTGGGTAGAGTAATCTCGGTTGTAGGTTTTTGCCTTTTATCACTTTAAATATGTCTTGCCACTCCCTTCTGGCTTGCAGAGTTTCTGCTGAAAGATCAGCTCTTAACCTTTTGGGGATTCCCTTGTATGTTATTTGTTGCTTTTCCCTTGCTGTTTTAATATATATATTTTTTTCTGTTTGATTTTTGATAGTTTGATTAATATGTGTCTTGGCAAGCTTCTCATTGGATTTATCCTGTATGGGACTTTCTGTGCTTCCTGGACTTGATTGACTTTTTCCTTTCCCATATTAGGGAAGTTATCAACTCTAATCTCTTCAAATATTTTCTCAGTCCTTTTTTTTTTTTTTTTTTCTCATCTTCTTCTGGGGCCTCTATAATTTGAATGTTGGTGCATTTAATATTGTCCCACTTGTCTCTGAGACTTTTCATTCTTTTTTCTTTATTCTGCTCTGCAGTAGTTATTTCCACTATTTTATCTTCCAGGTAATTTATCCATTTTTCTGCCTCAGTTATTCTGCTCTTGATTCCTTCTAGAGAATTTTTAATATCATTTATTGTGTTGTCCATCATTGTTTCTTTGTGCTTTAGTTCTTCTAGGTCCTTGTGAAATGTTTCTTGTACTTTCTCCATTCTATTTCTAACATTTTGGATCATCTTTACTATCATTGCTCTGAATTCTTTTTTCAGGTAGACTGGCTATTTCCTCTTCATTTGTTTGGTCTGGTGGGTCTCTACCTTGCTCATTCATCTGTTGTGCACTCTGTCTTCTCATTTTGCTTATCTTACTGTGTTTGGGGTCTCCTTTTTGCAGGCTGCAGGTTTGTAGTTCCCGTTGTTTTTGATGCCTGCCCCCAGTGGGTAAGGTTGGTTCAGTGAGTTGTGTAGGCTTCTTGGCCACTCACCAAATTCTTAAACACACTACCATCAGAAGAAAGAAATTTCATACCATTCATTTCCTCAGCAGTGATTTGCCTGTGATGTGCAGCGAGCAGACTTCAGAAGCTGATTTACACAGTTGGAGCACAGGAGGAGCCAGGGTGTCCTGGAGGGACAAGCTGGTTGAGGCTCCAGCGACAGGCTGATCTAGGGGCTCCCAAGCACCTTTCCCACTGTGTGTGATTTGCGGGTGGTTGATGGATTTGCATTCGGGTTCCAGTCCTGCATTTCTTATATTGCCTCTTAACACCCGACCTGGTGCTCCCAGTTTGGGTGCAGATGTTGGTAAGTAACATGTAATCCGATTTTAGTTGTTTCACTGCCTGCCTGCCATTGAGGGTATTTAGAGCTGTGGTCATGAGCTGCCTGTCAGTGGCACTACTGTGCCAGGTGTGTACCCAGATCTCCCATTGGTATGCAGCGACCATTTCCCTCATATTAAGGGCCAAACTTCAGACCAAGCCTGATTACCTCAAAGTCCTGGAGAATACAACATATAGGTTCTGCAACCCCACCAGTCCCTTTCGTTCACAGCTGCCAGTCACAGTCACCTCAACACCAGCTCTATGACAGCAGGAAAGGAGCTGTCTTCAGTGTTAAGAGACATAATCTAACATTGATGTGGCTGAGACTCTATATATTAAATAATTAAATCCATTTTAAGATACATAATTATTTCTAATTTGTAAAAAATATGTAAAAGGAACAAAAGTGAATCTCAGAATTCAGTAGAGAAGCTACAAGCCATATAAGCTATAAGCATAATGATTTTTGATGTTCAGGTAGTGGAAAAAATAGATTTTAAAATCATAATTGTGATGGGACATCACCCTGCCACTTGAAGATGATGGCCTTGGTCAAGACACCATATTGCTTAGGCTGTTTTGCATTTTGAAGTTAACAATACATATTTATAAGGTTGTTTTAAGGGTGAACTGAAATATATGTGAAAGAGTTTTGTAAAATGTCAGTATATAAGTTCATCCAAAACTAAGTAAAGTATAAGACCCCAAGCTGTCATAGCCTCAATGCATACATTAAAACCATGGCTTTAAACATTTTTGAATCTGAAGTACAGTTTGTGTGTGTATTATAATTTTATTTTTTAATAATATAATAAGTGTATATTTTGGACTAATATATATGTAAAATACATATATGTATATAATTTCACAAAATAATACTTTTGTTTGACTACCATGAACTCTGATCTATTCTATTCTATGTTATTATTTTATTCAATGATATTCATCATTCTTTTAAAAATGCTCTTTGAGAAACAATTAAATAACTGATTTTTCTACACACAAATGAGTCAAGTACCAGAGTTTGAAAGCCACTGTGTGACAGTCCCATCTTACTTTGTAGAAAGTAACTGGTGATATCATGGAAAATAAGTATTTCAATGAGTTATGAAAATTAGTAGGTAGTCATTAGGAAAATTCACAGGTATTCTGGTTTTCCCTTTTTTCTTTACACAGTCATTAAAACTGAACTTCCTCTCTCTATTAGTAGGTAGTCAAGGTCATGATTCTTACTTTGACAAAAAATTATAAGAAGAAGTGACACATTTTACTTCTAAATAAAGGCATTAAGAAGCTGTAAAATTTACCACTTTTCCTTTTATTGCATGAGGCTTTGGTCTCAGAGTGAGAAGACATGGGCACAATATCAGATGGTTCCTATAGGACATGTAGCATGAGTAAGAAATAAACTTACCTTATACTGACTGGTAATGAAACTGAGGGCCATATTTTGTTGATGTAGCAAACCGAAAGTCATTAGCTTGGAATGCTGTTCACGTGGAGACAAATAAACTCTGATTGGATGTTGAAGTAACAGAGACTTTTTATTACATAATGGTATATATATATATATATATATATATAACGTTACCTGTAGAAACTCAGAATACAGGTTATCTGTCTAATACACTTGTAGTACTAGGACAAAGAGTCGGAAATTAGAGTGTTTGTAGGGTGTGTTCCTTGCTGTTGCTTCATTTGCTGTTAATTATCTTGGGAGCAGGCATAAAAGGGAAGAAGAGAGATAATATATAAATTCAGAAAATGCAGTGTTGCAAGAGACAGCTACTTCTTAACTCCAAAGGGAAATGATAAGCCTGAGTAGGATCTTTAACAACAACAAAAAATTAATTCTGCCTTGAGGCAAAGATGTGACTGTCAAAGCCATTGAGAAATCTCAGAATTCTCAGTATAAAACCAGCTGATAGTATGCCACCTGTGATGGGTAACCTTATGTATCAACTTGTCTGGCCCACAAAGTGCCCAGATATTTGGTCAAACATGATTCTGGGTGTTTTTGTGAGGGTGATTTTGGATATGATTAACATTTAAATCATAGACTGAGTAAAGGAGATTGCCATCCCTAATATGGATGGTCCTCATCTAATTAGTTTAATGCCTGAATGGAACAAGAAGGCTGACCCTTTCTCAAAGAAAAGAAAATTCTTACCTGATTACCTTCCAACTGGGACATCAGTGTTTTTCCTGCCTTTGGACTTGAACTGAATCATGGGCTCTTCTTGTGTCTCAAGCCTGCCCACATGCAGATGAAAAGTACAACATTGGCTTTCCTCATTCTGATCTCTGAACCAGTACTAAAACTAAACCGTTGGCTCTACTGGATCCCCAGCTTGCTGGCTGCCAACTCACCTGCAGCTCTTGGGACCTGACCACTTCCAGGTTCCACAGTCATATGAACCAACTCCTTATAATAAATCTCTCTCTTTCTTTCTCTCTCTCTATATATAGATAGATCCAGATATAGATATAGATATAGATATAGATATATCTCCACATCCATATATGAGACCATATATAGTCTTATATATATGATATATGACTAATACACCTTACACACCACCCAATCATTTCAACAGAAAATAATTCTCAAAGAAAATAGACTAAAGCTTTTCATTTCTTCTCATACTTGATAGATTCAAAATGCAAGCAATTAATACATGTGAGCAATTTATATGAAAACAGAAGCATGGACACCAGAAACAAACAATGGTTCTATCTGGCACAATAGAAGGAGATAGAAAAAGAACTAAATTTCAGTTAAAAATTGGTCCAGTGTTTAAGACTTTTCGCTCCCAATGTAGGGGCCCCGGGTTCGATCCCTGGTCAGGGAACTAGATCCGGCATGCCAAAACTAAGAGCCCACATGCCACAATGAAGATCCTATATGCTGTAACTAAGACCCAGCACGGCCAAATAAATAACTAAATAAATAAATAAATAGGTCTGTTGTTTCACCTATTCACATAATCCCATCTAGGAGTTGATGACATCTGACAGTGGGGAGAAAAAGTAAAAGGGGAAGAAAAAGTAATTATGTAGTTTTTGGGTAATCAGAAAGTTTGCTCTTTTATTACCTTGTAGAAATGTACTGACAAGAGTTTTAGAGGTTCCAAGTTTAAAACATTTCTGTATTAACACACAATTCAGGAGTATTCCCGATTTAGCATGACACAATCTATGCAGAAGGTGGGAAAGCTATATGAAGATGCTGTCAGTCATGCCTTTTTCATTAATTTGTATGAGATTGTGAAAATATATTTAATTTTTATGTGCCTGACATAACAGATCTATAAAAGTAGGAAATGAGATTAATTATTCATGCTTTCTGCTTCTGTTGTATATATAATTTGTTTATTATTTTTATTGCCGGACAGTATTCTACTTGTCACTATATCATTATTTGTTTATCCATTTATCCATCTCCTGCTCATGAACTTTTGGATGATTTCCAAATTTTTGTTATTTATATATATATATTTTTTAACTATAAAATATATATAACATTTTATCACACTTACTGCAATAAGAGAGGATTCTGCATTGACAGAGTTATAGTATTGTCTCAAAATGGAAAATAAAAGAGGGTATTTAAAATTTTTGTAGGGCCTGAGCTGGTTGATTTTCAATCTGATTTTGCAAGGTAGAAAACTGAAAGGGATTATGCAAAGTTTGTGACATGATAGCTTTGGAAATATGGGCAGAGTGAAGTGAAAGTCTTGAGCAAGTCTTGATGAGCAAAGCTTATCAAGGGACATCTAGGTGTGTTGACTATTTACTCCCCAGAAACTATTAGCACAGTATGTTGATCAAACGAACTGCAGTTTATTTAGCTGACCATAGTAAGATAGTAAATTAACTATTTTAGTATGGTCTCAAAATGGAAAATTAGGGCAGCATGTTTTTAAAGTTTTAGCACTTGGCCTAGGTCATTTTTGAGATGTTTGGAGTCTTACAAAACAAGACTCCAAATGGTTATAACTGAGTAGAGTTATAACATCATAGCTTTGGGTTTGTGCATGCAGCAAGGAGAGAGACTTGAAGCAAGTCCTGACTAGCAAATAGTTATTCTTGATAAGTAAGTTGTTTAGTGGATTTATGTGGATTTGTTGTGTCCCCCAAAAAGTTATATTAAAATCCTAACATCTAGTACCTGGTAAAGTGAGCTTATTTGAAAACAGTCTTTACAAAAGTAATTAGTTAAAATAAAGTCATACTGGATTAAAGTGGGTCTAATCCAGTGACTGGTGTTTTCACAGGAATAAAGAACAGAGACACAGACACATAGAGAGAACACCATGTGACAAGTAAAGGCAGAGACTGGAATGATGTATCTTCAATAAGAAACAAGGATTTCCTGCAACCTCCAGAAGGATGAGTCAAGGAAAGCTCTTCCGATGGAGCCTTCGGAGGGAGCATGGTCCTATTTGATTTCAGACTTCTGGCCTCAAACACTTTGAGACAATAGATTTCTATGGTTTGAAGTCACCCAATTTGTGGCAACTTGTCATGGTAACCCCAGGAGGCTAACACATGAATTCACAGTCTTATTTTCTAGGAGGACGTATATCTTGGAGAAGGCAGCTAATTTAATTTTTCTCAGTCCTAGCACTTTTTAATATAGGGATGGGGAAGGATATCAATGCCCAGCATTGTTTAACACAGATAAGAGTTAATTATGTTAGTTTCAATTCTGTTACTCTATTTTTTCTTCACTATCAAAAAGTAATTTAATTTCTGACAAAGTAGTATGTTCATAAATCAAGCACATAAGGGCACATTTACAGCAATGTATTTATATGTGTATATTTACATATGCATACACATATGTATTTTTTATATTACATGCTACATGTATGTTAGCTAGATAGATCTATTTAAAGTTCATTCAAAAACCCCAAAATGTTTCTACTTGAAATATCCATAATATTAAGAGTAGACTAGATAAATAATATTTGACTGATTTATCTAAACATATCTATTTTATTTCTATAAAAACATAATAATTCATTAAAGAAAAAATAAACATATAACTAGAAAGGAAGGTATAATTTTTAACATGTATCCATCTCCTGAAACAGTTGGACAGAAGTGATTATTCACTAGTTGATAAATACTGTACCTTAGGTATTCAGTTATAAGAACAAACTATTGCTTAGATATAGAACTGGATTGGTGCCTGACAGAAAGTCAGCCTTTGAGAACCTTGATAGTTCCAAAAATAAGGTCAATCTTCAACATTCTCTCTAACAGGGGCCCTTTCTGGTAGACATAGATAAAAGCAAGCACAGATAGTAAATAGTGTAGATTCCAATGAAATACAGGAGAAAATCAGAATGAAGAAACTATGATGTAGATAGAAGAAGAGGAAATTTATTTTTTGATGTCCTGAGAAGGAAATGAACAGATGATAAATCACCAATTTGCTCTTAGGGAGGATTACCAGAGTAAGGAAAATGAATTGGCATGTGTCCTTAGGGAGGCAAAGCAGTGCTACATCTGAAGTGTATTATTTTAGTTTCCATATTAATGACTTAATCTGTGTGGCATAAGAATTGATTGTTTTCTGTTCTCTCTCTCCCGAACTCCCATTTCTCTCTGTCTCTTTGTCTCTCACTCTCTCTCCATTATATAATGATTCAGTTACTCAGCAAATGTGACCCTGTTTCTTATGCTTTTCCTGGAAGGAGGAAATTTCTTCTTTCTTTTATGAGTTCATTGCCTGGGCTAATAATTAAATTGACACAAGACAGATTAATAGGAGAAAAGAAAAAAACAAATGTAATTCATAGGTATGGAGGCCTTACAGAACTGGAACCTAAGAAGTGACAAGGAAGGTAGCTTTTACACCTTTTAGACAAAAAAGAAAAAAAAAATGTGAGGAATTAATTGAACAAATAAGCTTAGGCTTTAGTGCTTAATTAGTGAGGAATTCAAACAGTTTGGAGTAGCAAATTACTAAAGAAGTAACAAGGTTTGTTTGTACACATTTCATGGCCCTGAATTCCCTATTTCTGGTGATGAGTATGCCTCTCTCTTGGTACAGGGAGGGAACATTTTACATTGGCCATTTATTTCCTGCTTTCAGAGGGGACAGAGAGAAGGAGGATCAGAGTGTTCTTTTTACATCGACCAATTCTCAAGTAACTTTAATGCAAAATAGTATGCCACCATGGAATATTTTGGAGTGGCCTGCTCTGAGACCCAACACTTGTAAATGGAGGACACTAACAAGAATACAGTTGTAAGCAGCTGTAAAAATTTTGGGAAATGGTGAAATTTTAGATTGTATGAAAATAGTAAATATAAGTCCATGGACATGTAGTGAATTTTAGTGAATCAAATAATGTTTTATCAAAATTCCAAAGGTTTGATTGACTAATTCGAATAGAAAACTGATTCTTAAAAAAGAAAATCATGGTTACATACTGGAAATAAAGGAAATACTGATATTACAGTGGAATTTACATTTCATACCTATGCTTTCTAGAAGAAAACACAACAAACAAACAAATTAAAAAACACAGACAGCTGCATTTCAACTTTGAAGAAGTGATGGATGTGGAAAGAAAGGGGAAAGGTGGGATGGCAGATGATGATAGTGTGTGAGAGAGTTGATTTACACTAATTTTGGTAGTTGATAATAAATGAAGCTTGTGATAGCCTTGGTTGGAATAAGGTCCAAATTAAATGTGAATACTCTTAAATTTTAAAATGACCCATTAACTGACACCTGGGTCTGTCCTGGATTTTCTGTCCTCACTACCCTGATCTACTTTCCCTCCTTCTTCACCCTTCATTGTGTCCTGAAGGCTGATCTGTATGAACTTGATCAATAAGATCTCTTCTTTTCTGGCTTTGCATTTGTTTTGGCCAATGGAGAGCCCTGGTCAGAAATCAGAAGAGTGTGAGTTTGTTCCAGTTTTCCTTAATTATCTTTCCTATGTTACCACCTGGAGCTGAATGTCTCACTACCCTGTAAGGAGAGTCTTTCTACACACTCTCTTCTCAAGTTCATTAACCACTCTTTGTCTTTGAATCTAATAGATTTGTGCTCTAACTAGCCCTAAGATATTGTACTATCTGTTTCAGTTCCACTACATTCTATCCACATGTCTGTAAATAGTCCCTTTCTTAATATCTTTTTTCAAATTTATTGTTTCCCAACTTTATTGAGTAATAATTGATAAATGTAATTAAATAAAGTTGGAGTATACAACGTGGTGATATGATATACATATATATTATGTAATGATTACCAAGATCAAGGTAATGAACACATCCTTCATCACATATAGTTAACTCTTTTTTTGTGTGTGTGGTGTGGTGAAAATGTTTAAGATCTATTCAATAACTTTCAAGTATACATCATTGTATTATTAACTAGAGTCACCATGTTGTACATCAGATCCTCTGAACTTCCTCTTAATCATCTGCTTCTTGCTGGACCCTGAGTTGCACAGGGTCTTGAGCCACTTAGTTATAATTTCACAGAAATTTTGGAGTTTTCTCTTAAAGGCATAATAAAGACATTCAAAAGGCAATAATGTTTTTAAGATTGGACTCTCAAAAAATAAAAGAAAACTTGAGACTTCCATGAAAACATTTTTGTTGTAATTTTAATTCATAATAAATACTATTCCAAATGTAAAGATATCTCTGAAGTGCACATTTTCATTAGAAAGAGAACATTATCTTCTCTTTCTAAGAATCCTACATTAGTTGGTTGAAAGCCTATTCACAAATATTTTCCTTCCCAATTCACCTTTCTCTTTTTACCATCTACATTTTTTATCCATTGCTTTATGCACTCAGTAGGTACTTCTAAAACCAACCATGATAGTCCATACATATTTATTCTTTACTTAGCTAGATTTACCTCTACATAAAATAAATAAACAAATAAAACAAGTATTATGATTCCCATTCAGGAAATTATGATGAGTGTATGATATAAACTACATAATCTGTTCTAAAGTCAGGTACATTTACTTTATATATAAAATAGCAAACAGATGTTAGATATATAGATAAACAAATGATAGATAGATGATAAATGATAGATAGATGATAAAGAGGATTGTAAACTGGAAAAAAAAAGAGACAAAATAAAGATGTCTGAGAACTAGGCATGAAACAGGAACATTAAACATGGGTTCAGTCCTCTTGCCTGCAGAGCAATGGATTTAAAAGGGGTCAATGGGGCCAGTGATTTTACCTTAGTGGGGTGATAAGAAGCAACATCATCCCAAATGCGATAGGTGACTAGAGTAAGAATCACTGCAAAGCTGTGTGGTTTATTGTTGCTTAACAAAGGCATATTTTGATATCTGAACTAAAGAAGCAACTGAGAGCTGATAACAGCTGGATCATTTCAGTATTATACAGACACCAAAGGAAATAATAAGGAAATATATTAGAGCAAAAAAATTGATACAAAATTTTCCTTTACATTAATTTTCCAACATTCTTTGTTTAATGAATTTAAGATATGATTACTTAGATCATATAGTTTTAAAATTTCAGAACTAAAAAGGCTATGAGCAATTATTATGCTAAATATATTTTCAGGATCTCATAGGTAATTAATAAAGAAGACATGATTGCAAGTGTTTTGCTTCAGCTTTCCCACCTTTTGCACAGATCATCTTGTGCTTTCCTTAATTAACTCTGTAAACGTAGATACTTATGTGAGGCTTTTCATACTTACGTGAGGCTTTTCTCACTTCCACAACACAGCTGTTTTCATTCACTAACACTTTAATTATGACAGAAAATTTGTCTAAGTCCTAAATTAGTGATAGATTAAAGTACCAGTGGAGTAAATATTTCAAAAGTTTAACCAATCAAGATTTTTTTTTGAGAATGTAACAACTAGAAATGGATAAGCAGAAAAAATAACTCATTAAAATATTTTACTTGTCCATTTCTCATTTATTTATTAAAAAATATGTCAAGTAGTTATTATGAACCTGATACAGATTTAGATGTTATTAACACAAATATTGAAGAGGAAATTTAAAAATAAAATGATTTCAGATAGTGATAAGTGAACTAAAGAAATTAAAATGTTAATGAGCCTCAGCAAAATCAAAGTCAAAGAATGCTAGTTCATCAGATAAAGCAACTCTTGTTACATGATAATTGAGTAGAGACATAATTGCTGGGATAGTCAAAGTCAAAAGATTAAAATAATAACAAAGTCTCTATAGTGAGTAAAAAGAGAAGCAAAAACAAGTGCAAGAACAAAAACTTGGTATAACCTGAGAACCACAGTAAAGATAGTGTGGGTGCAGCAAAACTGAGAAAAAAGATCAGCTTATGTAGGAAATTTTAGACCATGTTAAAGTTATATGGGTGTTATTCAAAGGAAAAGTGGTAAACTTTTGCAGGTTTTTGTTTCATTACTTTAAAAAAAAAATCAGGGTTGAAGAATACATGATTTGGGAGTTTAAAAGTTTACTCTCTTACTCTAGTCTTGAAAAAAAAGTTCAGACAGTAGAAGAGAAAACAATTCTCAAAAACTTAAATATTCTGATGTATACAAATGGTTGTGAAATTTATGAAAAACGGAACTGTTGTATCAGTCATCAAGAAGATGCAAATTGTGGGGAATATGTCATGTATTCAGAAACATGACATTTGTGAGTGTAAATTAGTAGTCAGTTTGAAAAATTATGAGTATCCATTAAAACTGCACATTTGCCTAATCTATACCTTTGCAAAATAATTCCAGGTTACACTCAACAGGAACAAGCACATACATACACCAGTGGACATATTCAAGAATGTTCAAAAGAACCCTATTTATCATAGCCCTCAACTGGAAACTACTTCAGGGTCCATCAGTAGAAAATAGACCCTATATTATGCTGTAATAACTCAATGAGAATGCAGAAACTAGGTACATTCACCTTAATAAAATGATGGACAAGAAATAATATTCATAGGATTTCTATGTGGTAAAAGACTGTACATGGAGTAAAAAGAAGATATTGCTGTAATTAGGAATAATGGTTGTGGCTTGCACTAGTTGTGGGAGGGGGCGGAATGGTTGGATATTCACCATATATTTTGGAAGGGCAACATTTATATAACATGTTAGGTTAAATATAATTATTTGTAAAACTGAATTTGGGTCTTACTTCTAGATATGCATGAAAGATGTCTCAGGAATAAGATAAAGAATATAACAATAGAAACTAAAGTTACAATATTTTATTTATGAACTGTTAACAAAACATATTTGAATTTTATGAAAAAATCCCATCTTTTAAATTATTTTAAGGTTTTAGAAAAAATAACATTGCAATTCTTAATTTGTTCCATAATTTCATAAAGAGTGGTTTCTTTTACCTAATAACTAGTTTAAGAAGATTATCATTCTAAGTTCTCTCTCCCTTCTTCAATATGGCATTTTAACTGTTCTTAGCATCTCCCTTATGAATTGTCCTCCAAATAGGGCAACTTAATATAGCTCAAAGGTCCAGACTTTCCACTTTTGGAACAAAGGGGTCAGGAATAACAGTTTAGGTAATCATCTAATGGCTAGATTAATAGAACAAAAGCACTGGAAAATGTCATGTTGCAGAAATGCCTGAAAGACTGTCATGGGATGTTAACAAAGAGAAACCTAATAGTTTCCTTTTCCTTCACTCCTCTCTGTCCTCATCTACCGCATGACCATCAGCCCTTTAGTGTGTCTGAATCAGTTTCTATTGCTGCAATTAAAAACTACCAGGAGTTTAGTGTCTTCAAAAAACACAAATTCATTATTTCAAGGTTTCTATATGCAAGATGTCTAGATATGGCGTAGCTGGTCCTCTAAAAGATGGCAATGAAGGTGTCACTCAGGGCTGGGTTATCAGCTCAAGGCTCTATGAGAGAGAAACATATTCTAAGCTTACCTGTTTTTGGCAGCATTCTGTTTCTTGAAGCTTTAGAAATGAGAGCTTTAGTTTCTTGCTGACCATTAGAGGCTATTCTCAGTTCCTCACCGTGTGGACCTTCCAACAAGGCCGTTTGCTTCATCAAGGCAAGCAACAGAGTGAGAGACTCCAGCAAAATAGGTACTACAATCCTATGTAAATTAATCACATAATCCTTTGTGATGTCCTTTCACTTTTGACATAGTCTATTGGTTAGAAGCATGTCACAGATCCTGCTGGTACTCAGATAGAGGGGATCACACAAGGGCTTGAACACATGGGAATTTGGATCATAAGGGCCACTTTAGAAGACTGCCCAACCCTGTCCACCCTCTAACCTCCAATGATTCACATCTGTCCCACATGTAAATTACTTGTACCTTCCTTGTTTCAAATGCTCACTAAGAGCTTTAGTCCAATATAGTGTCTGCTCAAAGTCCAGACCTCATCATAGAGATTGTAGGTAAGTAGTGTTATCAGTCTGCTTATTGGCAATTGAATTTGGGGTGTACTTATAGTTCTTACTATCTCTGTCCCTTCCACCCCTAATTGCTTTTTCTGCTGAAATAATTTACTCAGAAACTCTGTGTATCTCCCATGGAATTAACTGAGGTTCATTCTCTACACAAAATCCATAGTAAGGGGTAATTCTGAGTTAAGTCCTTCTCTATCTTGAGCTCTGGCTGTGCTGGCTGAGGGACATTGCTCTTGTTTCCTAGAGATATTATGGTTTGATTGAGAGATTTTATAAGACACATCCTTAATCTCTTAAAAGGAAACTTTGCATGATTAAATATTCTTACATTTTAACATTTCTGACTATTTAGGACAAGTTACACTATCTCACTCTCAGCTATTTCTCTAGGCATTTTTTCCTGACAGTGCTCAGAAGGCATTTCTAAATTTTTGCATACTTTCCCATTGGGAGTGGCTGAAAATGTCCCAAATCATTACATCCTAGTTTTAGTTTTTCTTGTTTAACAGATCTTTCTGAAATTTGTCTCATTTCTCTTGAATTTTGCTATAAGCACAAAAAAGAAACCAGGCAACATCTTCTCCACTCTGCTTGGACATCTCGTTAGATAGGTCACCAAATTCTTTAGGCTCATATTTTACTTTCCATATTGTTATAGACAGTAGAGTTGCTAAGGTTCTGCAACTGTGTAATAAGGATGCTCATTCCTTTCTGTTCCAATAGCATGTTCTTTGTTTCCTTTGTAGCATGATCCAAGTTCAGATTTGTACAGTCAGTGAGCCTTCCCAGTCTGCATTTTTACAGTACAGATTTCTAACAACCTGTACAATATGATTCAGATTTTGTCTATCAGAGTCTTCAAAATTCTAGCCTCCATCCACCACCAATTTTCAAAGTCATTCCCACATGCGTAGGTATCTGTTATGGCACTGACCCTCTTCCATGTACCAGAATCTATATTAGATTCATTTTGCTCAATAACAAATTACTACATACTGCGGTACTTAAAACAACACACTCTTATTCATAGTTTCTGAAGGTCATGTGTCCAGATATGACATATCTGAGTTCTCTAAAAAGATGCAGTCAAAATATTGGCTAGATATAGGTTCTCAGCTGAAAGCTCAAATGTGAAGGATTCTGCTTACAAACCTGAATTTTTGTTAACAGAATTACTTTCTGGCTGTCTTCTGGATACCTCCCTTAGTTCCTAGAGACCACCTTTAGTTCCTTGGCATGTGGGTCTCTATCATGCCTGTTTTCTTCTTGAAAGGTTGCAAGGAAATGAGAGATTTCATCAAGATGGATGATACACTTATTTAATATAACTATATAATCTAGTATGCATAATCACTTATGTCCTGTCAACTTTGCCATATCCTACTGGTTAAAAGCAAATAATAGGTCCAAAAAACACTCAAAGAGAGGAGATCATGAATATAAGTGAATATCAGGAGGTAGTAATCATGGGGTGCACCCTAAGAATGAATCCACTATGAGGTCCACCCTTACAATCTCTTTTGAACTCTGGTCTTGATATTTTCTGAGGAACAAACATTTTACATGTGTTATTTTCTTAAGTCCTTACAACAATGTCTAATTAGATGTTACTATTACTTTTATTTCACACGTGAGAAAATGGAGGTGATTAATTTGATAATGTTACTCCAAGAAGTATGTGATCATGTCTAATTTTTCAATTAGCAGAACTTTTGGCAAGAATTTAAATTTGTGATGTCTCTAAATTATAAAAATGAAGAAAGATATAGCTAGGTTTATTTGGAGAGCTCAATATACATTGCTTGCATTGTATAGTTACACTATTCATGGAAAATAAATGCTACACTATCTAATTCAACTGATATTTGATGTCTGGAATGAGATGTTCCTCACCGTTTTGCTCAGGCCTGATGCTTGCATTTGTATCTTTATGTGGAAGCTGAAAGGTCATAACATAGCTGGAAATGTTATACTTTTAAACAGTAAAGTATTCCCCCCAGCACTCCTTTTTGTCATGACTTTACAATTTCCAAATAACCCCCTTATCTTTCCAACTAAGATAAGGTATGGTCTTCAATACATTCTGATTCTTAGTACTGTGGCAAGAATCAGATCTTGAATATAAGAATACAGTGCTCAAATCCTTCCCACTGCTTTTATCTCCCAAATAGCAGTATTTCATTGATAAAATAGCAAAATTCAGAAGCAGCAGGCAAGCATGATTTCTTTCAAGATAAATAGAGCCTACCAGAATGGCTGATCCCAAAGATCATGTCTTTGGCAGGTGTTTTCTCTATTCTTTCACTGATGGCAGTCATTTAAGATTTTAGAAGGGTTCACTACTATAAATAACTGCTATAAATAGTGGTCTACTACTATAAAGTCTGCATTGGTAGTGCAGAGTAAAGTTAAGCAAGTAAAGTTGCTTGCCAAAGTATAATAAATTATTTTGAGTTCTTACTGATATCAATGTCTGGGTATATTCTTTAGCTTTTTACTAAAGACAGAAAACTCATCAAAAAGCCTTATTCTTCCTCATTTATGTAAGATGGTCCATTATATATACAGAGTGCATATCATATAAAATGTTGAAATATACTTCTAAAACTTACTAACAGATAAGTAATGCCATCTGGCATTTAAAGGAATTAAATATATAGCTCTAGTTTTTTTTTTTTCATTCAATAAATATTACTTGGGTTTCTCCTACATACTATATTATATCCCAGGGGTTCATAAATAATCATGAAATATGTTATCAGACAAATGCTTTAAAGAAGATCATTGTATCTCACTCCTTCATTTATTTAAAAGATACATTTAAAAAATATATAATTAGAAGTAAAAGTTTTGCGACGTGTTCTACAACTCAAGAAGTTTGATCTTTTATACCATGTGTATTAACTGTGTCTTGCACTTTCCCTCCATGACCTCACAGTGTTTACCACAGACTTCTTATTGAAGGAAAAAGCAATTGTTACATAATGAGTCCTACAGAATTATAAAAATATCTCTGAAGGAAAAAAATTGAAGAAAGCATAATTATATCCATATTTTCTGTGAAATGGTTTCTCAGAGCAATGTGCTTGTAGCAATTAAACACATTGCCCCTTAAACATTATTCTACTTTTTTCTGCAGTAATAGAAACTCTAGCTTATTATTTATTTGTTTTAGCATCTTTACTGAGATATAATTCACAAACATAAGATTCACCCACTTAAAGTGTACAATTTGATGCTTTTTTTCTATATTCACAAAGTTTTGCAACCATCACCAGAAACTAAGTTTAGAGCACTTTACCTCAAAAGGAAACTCCTATCTTTTATCAGTCACTCGCTATTCCTATCCTTCTAAATCCTAGGAACCACTAATCTATTTTCTGTCTCTATAGATTTGTCTATTCTGGATATTTCCTAAAAGAGAAGCAATGCAATGTGTGACCTTTTATCTTTAGCCTCTTTCAATTAGTATAATGTCCTCAACACTTATCCATATTTTATCATGTGTCAGTAATTCATTCCTTTTTATTGTTGAATAATATTCCATTATAAGAATAAACCACATTTTGTTTACCCAGGTATCAGCTGATGGACATTTGTGTTATTTCCACTTTTTAACTATCAGAGTCAAATAATTCTGCTATGAAGATTTATGTAGAAAATTTTGTGTTAACTTATGTTTTCATTTCTCTGTAGCAGACATATACTACTATAGACTGAATGTTTGTATTCCTCCAAATTCATGTGTTAAATGCCCAATGTGATTATATTAGGGGGCTGGGCTTTTGGGAGGTGATTAAGTTATGAAAGTGGAACCCTAATGAATAGAATTAATGCCCTTATAAAAGAGGCCCCAGATAACTCCCTTATACTTTCTGCTATGTTAGGACACAGTGAAGAGATGGCCATCTATGAACCAGAAA